TCTTGAAAGTTTTTTTGGAAGTTAAGGCCTTTTAGGACGAGGCCTGCGGGCGCAATTGAGTGGGTTTTTTTCACCTTTGGGGTGGAGGAGTCGGATGGGGTTGTTGAGGTGGAATAGGCGCGTATAGAAGGGAGGAGAGAGCGGATTAATTGTAAAGAGTGGCGGGAGAGCATGGTTTCTTTGCCGATGTGATGGCGATGTGATGAGGTGAGGTTCCTGCGAGGGAGCGGGCCGAACCTTGTTTGGACGGTTGGACCAACCCAATCGTGGGATGAAAGTTTGACACTCGACTCGGAAAGCATTCTCTTCAGCGAATAAACGTAGTACTCAAGCTAGGAGAGATGGCACAGTGTTTGATTTATAGGTATACATGAAACTTAGCAATAGCAATTCATACACAATAACGCATGCAACTAAAGCTCATCCCTCTTTACCCTTTCATCCTGCTCGACCGGCGCTTCTGTCTCGAAAGTTTTCTTCTTCGGGTTCTTTGGGATATCACCTCTCTCTTGGAGAATAGTGCCATCTCCACGTCTGACAACATTCTCACCCTCCTTTTGCTGCGGAAAATTGTCTTTGATTCCCACCATGTTTCCAATTTTGTCCAAAAGGGATCCGTCTTTACCCAATTTTGCGCCGGCACCACCACCGCCGACTGGGACACCACCTCCACGTTGGATGCGCTCGCGGTCTTCCATGTTAATTTTCGGGATACCTCCGGATGCACTGGGCTGGACAATTAATGGTGCGCGGCTTTGAGCTATACTTGTAGTGGTTCCTGCTTTTGTGAGGACACCGGTGAGGGTGAGGAACAGCAGAAACGGTTTGATGAACAGCCACCAGATGAAAAGGTAGGTGAGCCTCCAGAGGAACAGAGGAAGCTTGAAGAAAGGTCCGTAGAGAATGCGGCGGAAAAAGAGCCAGCAGAGGGTTGCAAGTAAGATGTAGAAGGCGGTTTCGAGATACCAGGTATCGCTTTTTTGGCTGCGGAGAAGTGTGGAGAGTATGTCTTTTGACTTGTCGAGTGCGGAGCTGAGGTCTGTGTAGGTGTCGCCGAGTTGCTGCAAGGCCGCAGAGGACTCTTCAAACGTTTCTTGTGCGAAGCGGGAGCGAGAGAGTTCTGTGGACAACAAGGCGTGAGTCCGTCTTAGTGCGGCAGTGACGTCTGTAGATGCTTGAGCTTCTGCTTCGGCCTTGGAGAGTGGTTTTTGTTCCTTCTTTGGGCGCCTTGTGCTGAAGAGATCGCCCGCCGCTTGTTCGTTTGGTGTTGATGAGCGAAGAGCTACGAACGCTGCATCACGCTCTTTGCTCTTGGCTTTGTCACTGGCTCTTTTAGCTGACAATTGGGCGCTCCGGAAGCGGTTGCGCGAATGGCTCAGTTCCTCGCCGAAACGCGTACACTGAATGCTTAGCCGAAGGTCCTTGCGCTGTCGATCGCTTTCACGGCGCTTTGCACTATAATCCACGGGGACAGGGGGTTTGAGGTCTTCGATATCCTGACGCAGGAGGTCGTATTCCTCTTCAAGCGCTTTGAGGCTTTCGTGAATGTCTTCGCCCAGTTCAACGCGCTCAGTGTCGGCGTCAGCCGATCCTTCCTGGAATTGAAGCTTGGAGAGGCGTTTGATCAGAGCGTTTGCTCCTTTGAGAGATTCTTGGAGTTGTGAGATTCTTTGTTGTTCTGCCATTGTTGGTGGAAGGTGAGGTGAGGTCGACAAGGCGCTGCGCTAGTTGACTGGCTCCCTGCGATAATGCTATTTATTGTATTTACCGTAATAACTGACCGCCGACTTCACGCCATAGGAACGCGGATGAAAGGGAGTAGACTTCCCCTGCTATGTGCCATTTATAAGTCCATCCGTCTTTCCAGTTCCTTCTTGCTCCAAGATGCCCCCCAAATCGCGCTTCACGCGGCTGGACGCCTTCACCAAGACGGTGGAAGATGCGCGCGTGAGGACGACATCAGGGGGTGTAGTTACTCTAGTCTCGTTGGTTCTGATTGTCTACCTATTAATGGGCGAATGGGCTGAGTACCGGCGGCTGGTAGTCCATCCGGAGCTCATTGTTGACCAAGGTCGGGGTGAGAAGATGGAGATCCATCTTAATATCACATTCCCTCGCATCCCATGCGAACTACTATCGCTTGATGTCATGGATGTTAGTGGCGAGGTTCAGAACGGTGTCATGCATGGAATCAAAAATGTCCGTCTGCGGCCTGAGAGAGAGGGTGGAGGAGAAATCTCGAGCTCCGCTTTGCTGCTTGGCTACCCGGAAGATCCTCCGCAACACAAAGATCCAAACTATTGTGGAGAATGCTATGGCCGTCCAGCGCCGCCGAATGCAGAGAAACCGGGATGTTGCAATACTTGCGCCGAGGTGCGAGAAGCATATGCCAATGGTGGCTGGGCGTTTGGACGCGGGGAGAACGTCGAGCAGTGTGAGCGTGAGCACTACGCTGAACGTCTTGACCAGCAGAGACCGGAAGGCTGCCGAGTTGAGGGAAGCATTCGTGTGAACAAGGTCGTTGGGAACTTCCATTTTGCTCCTGGCAAGTCCATATCTAAGGGCAATGTTCATGTCCACGATCTAGACAACTACCTCGCTGGTGGAAAGGATATCAAGCATACCTTTAGCCACAAAATCCACTACTTACGATTTGGTCCTCAGCTTCCAGACGCTCTGACCTCACGCATGGATAAGAAGTTGATGACTTGGACGAGTCACCACACCAATCCCCTGGATGGCGCTGAGCAGCTCACCAATGAGATTCCCTACAGCTACATGTACTATATTAAAGTCGTCAGCACAGCTTATTTGCCACTGGGCTGGAAATCCACGCGTTCCATCCTCGACATTCCCCATGAACGCATCGAGCTAGGGGGCTATGGAAAGGGCGAAGCTGGTAGCGTCGAGGCGCACCAGTACTCTGTATCACTGCATGAACGCAGCCTGACCGGCGGTGATGCCAGTGACCAAGGGCATAAGGAGCGAATACATGCTAAAGGCGGTATTCCTGGTGTTTTCTTTTCTTACGTTCGTTAACCCTTTCCCGGAAATGGCCTTTGCTAAATGCATACTAGGACATCTCTCCCATGAAAGTCATCAATCGGGAAGTCAGAGGAAAGTCGTTTTCCGGCTTCCTAGTTGGAGCGTGTGCCATCATTGGAGGCACCCTTACTGTTGCGGCCGCTGTTGACCGTGCTTTGTATGAAGGACAAGCGAAGCTTAAGAAGTTGCATTCGGGTTGAAGCGTATCGGCTGTAAGTTGGATGATCGCGAGGAATTACTGCCAGCAGCAGGCGATCTAGTGTGTATTCTTGTACCATACGACTTGCTATATCATTGTTGAAATGCAGCAAGGACACGATTCTTCCACTGGTTGGGTTTAGCGTTCGTGGTTTTATATTTGAATTCCGCATCTGGACAAGTATGCATCGAACTGCGGCTCAAAAGATGTTTTTTCAAATTGTTGAACATTACACCTGAGGTCTGATTGCGATTGTGGTGTAAAGCTGTGCTTCCTGCATGCTCAAAAGCACATTATCTCAGCATCAGAAGAAGCCGCGTTGACACCGATCCGACTACTCTACTACAAGAGGAGCCGTGTATGAGAGTCGGTTATGGTACGTAGAGCGAAACGATGTATAGTTGCAACTAGCTGGTAAGATCGTATTGCGAGATTTATGACAGGTGTGACGTATGTTAGTGTCGGGAAGGGCCGGAACGGGCCGAAGGCAGGAGGATAAAAGGGAGGTTCGAGGGAGAGGAGGACATCTTGGTTTTGACGTAGGTTATCACAATATTGTGTTGCTCAACGCGAACGTGTTGAAGTACTGCACGGGCCGCTCCGACAGATGTCCCGCGGAAAAACAAAGCAACCAAGTGGGGCTGAACAAGGTCCGGCCCGTTCCTCCGCTAAACGTCGCCTCTGCACTTTGAACAACTTGCACACCGACAACAATAACCATGGCGCCCGCGCCCGACGAGCTCAACCACAAATCGCGCGATGCGCGCATCCTGGCGCTCGTCCTCAAAAACTACGGCGTAACGTCCTACCAACCGCGTGTACTCCCTCAAATCCTCGATTTCGCCTACCGCTACACTAGCGGCGTTCTTTCCGACGCGCAGCGAATCGCCAACGAAGGGTACACGAGCCCTAAACGATCCAACAATCCCGCCGCCGTCGGCGCTGCAGGCGGAACAGCAAACAGCGCCAACGGCGCCAGCGGCCCTACGGCCTCTGGCAACGACGCCAAGAACATCGCAGACGCTATCACCCTCGATTCACTACGATTAGCCATTGCTGCCCGCGCAGGTGCCGAGTCTCGCGGCTCACTACCCAAAGATTTTATGCTTGAACAAGCTCGCGAGAGGAACAGGCTGGCTTTGCCTAGGATCAACGATGGAAGGAAGGGACTTTTTGCGGAGCTGCCGCCTGAGAAGTTTCAGCTCCTGACTCAAAGCTGGAATCTAAATATTGATGGCGATAATATGGACGTGGAGGGCGTGGATGAGGATTTGAATAGAAACAAGGTTGCGCATGAAGAGGAAGATGTCGTCGATGCTATGGATGAAGATGAGGAGGATGGAAGGGTTGACGCTGATATGACTGATGCATAGACAAAAGTGGACAATTGTGCGGGAATTTAGCGAGGCGTCAGGCGAACTTCACGCTGAATGGAGGTAAAATGGGCATTGTACTTTAGGACAGGGTGCATGAAGCCTTCTAGGGACAAAATCGTACTTCTGTGGTCTACCTTACGAGTCTGTACCCTCTGCGATTCAGCAAGCATTGACACAGATTCGTTCAGTTTCGATGGATGATTTGCACGACCATGCCGGTCAGAACAGTAAAAAAAAGTTGAATAGACCCCCTTTAACCAAATCCAACCCGTCATACCTCGCAGCCTCGCAGAGGAGCGCTTGTAAAGTTTGACCACCGGCTGTGACGCTGAAAGACTCCGGTTCGCCCAATCTTACTCACCAGAACAACATAAAAGTGACTCAGTCGTGGGGAATCGAACCCCGTTCTTGCCGGAACCACCATGAAAGCGGCAAATCATGACCACTCGACCATAGCGGATCCTTGCTAGCAACAAACGTCCAGTGACCATATGACTCGCCCCGCCCAGGTGCTAGCGCGGAACTCATTCCGCTCCTACCGTTCACCCCACTTCTCCAAAAACTCCTCCACCAACAAGCCACATGTCCTCCCTCCGCAATGCCGCCCCTCGCCGAACGCACCGCGAACGCGCCCAACCTCTCGAGCGCTCGAAATGGGGCCTACTCGAAAAAAGCAAAGACTACCGCAAGCGCGCCGCAGATCATAAGCTCAAACGCTCGAAACTAAAAACCCTCCGAACAAAAGCCAGCGAACGAAACGAAGATGAATTCTACTTTGGCATGGTGAATGAATCTAGGGATAGTGGGAGTCAAAACAAGAAGCGTGAGCAGAATGGTGCGGCGAAGAAGTTGAGTCATGATGTTATTAAATTGCTGAAGACGCAGGATGCCGGCTATCTTCGCACCATGCTGGGAAGTGTTAGGGCGAAGAGGGAGAGGGCTGAAGAGAGGTTCGTGCTACAGAGGAATTTGATGCAGAATGGAGGAGGGGAGGGCAAGGTGGTTGTGTTAGATGAGATGCCGGAGGAGAGCGATGGGGTAGTGAAGGACGATGACGATTTGAGCTCCGAGTCTGTGCATGATGAGAGGGAGTATGAGACTAAGGCTATCAAGGAGAGGAGAGAGCTCAAGAAGAAGAAGCATCGGATTGAGGTGCAAGAACGTTTGGTCGAGGGACTCAAGAATCGTGAGAAGCAGCTGGGTATTGCTCTTAGGGAACTTGATGCCCAGCGAGCGCGGATGAATGGGACGGCGGGGAAGGGTGTTAATAAGAACGGTGTGAAGTTCAAGTTTAGATCGAAGCGATAGTGGATCTCTGCATGTTTCCCACCGTCTGACTCCTGTGGAATCGTTGGAGTAAAGATCACACTGGCCCAAATTGCCGGAATGAAAGAGCAAAGGGCAAACAAAAAAACGTACAGCAGCGGGGATTCTCACGTGGTCACCCACCATGGTACTAATCCGCCGGTTTGCAGCGCGTATGCGGGGCACTTGCATAGCAAGTCAGCGATACCTCCTGCACTACCAGCTGCACCCTAGGTTTTTTTCCTTCACAGAGGTTTTCCCTCAGGGTCATATCATATGTGACATGGCGAATGCGCCCTGCTAGTGTACAACGTGATGTCACCGGCCCACCGGTACAGAATATTTATTCTGACGTCCCCTCGCAGATACATATAGTCATTCACACTGTCATATCGACACTGTTTATCGCCACGCCCTCCTAGTTCGGGCCGCTGCGCACTCTAATCCACGCAAGCACTATCGCTACAAATTTCAGGAGAGCGAACGGGATCCTCTGTTGTCTGCAACTTATGGCCGTAAGTGATTAGACATTGAGGTTGTATGCTTTTATACCTGCATCCCCGGCTTGGGCGAGACGTGGAAACTCGCTGAAATAGTTAATTCGATGTAGCGCGTGCAAACCAGCCCTAATCTATACGACTGTATGAGCGGTATGCCCATTCTTCAGCTACATCTCGCGGTAAAGATCGAAGCGTTAAGCCCCCGTCGGAGGGACACTCAGGAATTTGTCGACACCTTCACACCGGTGCTTGACGTTGCCAATGTACGGTAGGCATGTGCCGTTGCTTGCTCAATGGAGTTTTCGGTGATGATGATGATGGTGATTGGAACCGGAATGACCGGCGCAGTCCCTCGAAGTGTGAGCCCATAAATGCGTGCGACGATTTGATTTTTGGTGTCAAAGAAGACCATGCAGGGCTTGATTTGGTTTGCAAGAGTTGAACGTAATGGCTTCCACAACAGCAGACATATGTGTAGCGATAAGGCTCTCGCTGATGGGAGTGCGCAGCGTCCCGAACTAAGAGGACAAAGCGATAAACGGAAATTGATAACAGGGACAGGACAGATGCAGATGGATATGAGTCAATACCAGTGTCGATATGACAGGGTGAATTTATCTATCTCAAAATGAGGGGACGTTCAGAATAAAAATTCTGTATCGGTGGGCCAGTGACATCATGTCGTACACTAGCAGGGCGCATCCGCCATGTCGCATGCGACATGACCCTGGGGGAAACCTCTGTGAGGACAAAATTTAGGGCGCAGCTGCTGGTGTAAGAGGTGTCGCGCAGTGGCATCATACACTGATAGCAACGAGACTTCATGCCAACACGTTTGACCTTGAGACTCCGCACTCATACTCTACGCTTCCACGGTCCAGTTTCTTGCTACCTGTTGACCGCATCTTGTATCTTCCTTGTTGTATAAACAAAGCTACACCCGAGTCAAGAGTGTCGGGTGACTTCACTTTAAGGTTGACGAAAACTTTGCCGCTTCCAACGGAAGGAAACACAATGGTTCTATGATAATAACATGTGCGATTTCTCGCCACGCCATTGGTTAAACGTTCGCAATAACAAGTCGAGCCTTTCCCTATTCAGCCATAGAGCTTGATCATCGGATCCAAGAGCTACTATCATGACTTTAGCTACCTTACTCGGCAAGGCTAATTATTAATCAGGCAAATTGGCGTCCCATAGCGACAGTGGGACCGAGCTTGGTTCGTACCATGTAGACTTGTGAAATCTGCCATTGAATTTCTACCCAACCCCTTCCATACATCTACCAACTGACCGGCTTCACAGTACATCAACAATGCCTTCGAAGCTGCTTTCGCTGATCTTCGGCGCTGCTGCCCTCCTTCCGTCGGCGGTTATCGCCACGCCCAAGCTCCACCAGTTTGAAATCGAGCCAGGCAAGACCATCAATGTGGAAGTAGTGCTGAGCACGACGACAGTGTCTGGCTCCAAGACAAAGACCACCACCTTGGTAGTCCCATCCTCTGCGAATGTTGAGCCAACCCCAGGCATTAAGGCCACCACCATGGTATTTACACTCTCTGCAAAGATTGAGCCAAGCCCAGGCGTTGAAACGACCACCAAAGTTGAGCGCCCAGCCGAAATTGAGCCAACCCAAGACGTTGAGACAACCGAAGTTGAGACCCCAGATGATATTGAGCCCGCCGCCGTAGTCGAGGCTCCGGTTGTAGTTGAGCCTACTTCAACGTCAATCATCACTGAGGTTGTCAAGAAGACCCGCTTCCCCATCACAAGCCTATGCCAACGCGCACGACGATGGTGACCGTCCGCGTACCTGGTCTGCACACCCCCATGCCCAAATCACAAGTTCCGCACGCCTCTAAGCCAAAAGAGCAAGGCCCATACGCTCACAAGCCCAAGGCACCCGGCCCGCATGCCCCCAAGTTCATGTCAGAGCAACCAGACGCTCTTTCGTCGCTCTCCTTGGCGGCCCCTACCTCGACCTCCCGTCTGACAGCAGCCAAAGACCTCGAGGTTGAGCATTATAAGTTTTATGTCTCGTCTCATCTGTGAACTTTGTTGACATTGTAGCAGACCCGCCTGAGATTCCTGCGCCAAAGGCTCCCAAGAAGGAGGGCCCAATAGGCGCCTACAACCTGGAAGAGAACGAGGACGAGTCCGGTTATCAGAGCAATGATGAATGGCCCGTTGGTGTCTATGAGTTGTAGGCAATTAAATTGCCTGCCCAATCTGGGAACACCCCATCGTTCCTGTGGTTGTTCCACTTCGCTGTGCTTTCGAATGAAAGAGCCTCGAGTGACGCGTAGATCCTGCGGGGGTTCTATGAAAATGTTTTCTTTCTGGTTCATTGACAAATTCCAGGTGATAATGGAGTGATCTAGGGTGCGTTGTTTCCTTAGTGACATCTGCCACCACCATTAGAAGCGCATACATTTGTCAATCACATGCTGTAAGGCCTTCAACTTGGCCAATCTACCCTATTAGTGCAGAGTGTACCATGACTTGATTCCACCTGCTTCTGGTTGTCTGTATTTATGTACGAGGCAGTGGCATAATGTTGATCCTTGCCGGTGCCTCGGCATGTCGATCGTATGATCGACATTTTTGTCGCTAATAGATTAGTTGTTTTCTTGTATATAGTTCCGCCCGCCGGCACGGGCGGGCAGTCGCGTTGTCTTTCTTTCATCGCTGTTTCCTGTCCACACCAGAGATATTATGTACACTCGCTATTGCTCTGGAGTAGATCTTGCGTTACTGAGCCCGCAAAGAAGTCCTTCAGTGCCATCCCTATCCTGCACATGTTCTGTAGAAGTTAAGCGAAGCAATAGTTGTCTAAAAGGCAAGCTAGAAAGTGATCGAGGAAGCGAGTGGAGGGGCGTAGTTGAGTTTTCTGCCGTTGTCGCGCGCAACTCTTGCGGAGTTGCAGGCCGCGAGAGCAAGTAAACCCGGGTCTATAAGCGTGACGGACTCCGGCGGCTTGTCGAAATAGAGATGCACAATGGCACCACGACCTTGATCGTCGGCACCCCAGGGTGCGAAGACACCGCCATAGCCACATCCTCATCCTCAATCCCATGGCATTCCTCCCTCGTCTTGTAGTCAGCCTTGACTAGGATTATCAGGTCGTTGACATTAAACTTGTTTTTTACCGACCGGACAACGTCATGGACAAAGCGACACTCCACGGTGCCTTCTTGTGCTTTTGGCAGGGGTTTTGGTGTCCGAATCCTTGAGTAGTCGAGACGTACATATAGAGATGTAGCTCCCGTGGGTGAAAGTGCGCAGCGACCCGAAGAGGACGAAGTGATAGACAGAATCGAAGACAGGACAGGTGTAGATGTACATAAGTCAATACCAGTGTCGATATGACAGTGTGAATGATTATTTTATCTCTATGAGGGGACGTTCCGAATGAAAATTCCATACCGGTGGGCCGGTGACGTCACGTCGTACACTAGCAGGGCGTATTCGCCATGTCACATATGACATGACCCTGAGGAAAAACCTCTGTGAAGGAAAAATCTAGGTACAGCTGGCAGTGTAGGGGGTGTTGCTGACTTGCTATGCAAGTGCCCCGCATACGCGCTAGCGGCGATGCTTGAATCCACCAGTACATAATTTCATCCATTAGGTCCTTCCAAATTGTACTTACTGC